CCGGACCGGAGTCCGTAGTTTGAGGATGCCTGGTGTAGATGATGGTACAGTGAACTATGAACACATCAGACCTCCTGATGGAGTTTGAGCAACACTTCTGCCTCCAACAGACTCCACTGATCAACAACGTCTACATCTATCATCAGGAGTGGAAGATTATACACTCATTCTGAATGACATATTATTTCATTTTAGTCTTGATCTAATAAACCACTGGATGTCACTGTAAACAGCTTTTAACTAGCTGATTTCAAGATGTACTGATTGTTTTTGAACGACAGCTTGAGCTCATTTTAACATCTCTGTGTTCAGAATTATTACTTTCATTCACTTTCATTGAGCTTTGCTTTGTGTTTTGATGTCCATTTGATTGAATGGATTTTCAGCCTTAATGTAAGGCAAGGCAAGGCAAGTTTATTTATATAGCACTTTTCAACACAAGGCAATTCAAAGTGCTTTACAAAAAATGAAAGACATTAAGAAAATGGCATTTAAAATCAGTCATTAAAAAGAAAAGCTAATAAAATAAACATTAAAAGAAAAAATACATGGATAAAAGTTACAGTGCAGTTTAAGATATGAATAGTTCAATTAAAAGCAGCGACAAAAAGAAAAGTCTTCAGCCTGGATTTAAAAGTAGTCAGAGTTGCAGCGGACCTGCAGGTTTCTGGGAGTTTGTTCCAGATACTTGGAGCATAATAACTGAACGCTGCTTCTCCATGTTTAGTTCTGACTCTGGGGACAGAAATGTAGAAAGTACGTTTTCTCTGTTATATCTGTTGACATTAGAATCTACTAATACAAAAAAATCCAACAATTGTTTTTGACTCTTTTTGGAAATAGTCTAAAGTAACTTTGAGAAGTTGACATTATACTTATGAGAGGAAGTATAAGCGTCACTTCTCAGCTAACACACTATTTTGGAAACATTTAATCAGAACAAGAGATAGAGGAAGCAGAGAGAAGCTTCTATTATCTTCCAGCTGAAAGTCTCAGAGCTTTTTGAAGATGTACTGATTGCTATTAGAGCTAAAGCAGCTTGAGCTCATTTGAATATCTATGTGTATAAAATCATTATTTTGATCCACTTTCATTTAGCTTAGCTGTTAACATGTGTTTTGATGTCCATGTGATTGAATGAGTTTTCAGCCTTAATGTAGAAAGTACGTTTTCTTGTTGTTATACCTGATAAACAGTGGCGTTTTTATATGTACAAAAGTGGCGGGGCACAAAAAACTTAGATGTCTATATATAAGCTTCTGCAGTGACGTGCAGTGAGGTTCATGGCTGGTGAGGCACTGGCACTGACTCTAAATCAAAATATAATATTATTTTCAAAAGCTTTTTTTGTCTGATGCTTCGATTAATTTTAAACAGACAGTTCAACAAAAGGATACCCAACAAATGTAATTTTATCATTTAAATATTGAATTGTTCTCTCTTAGTAAGATCCCATTTTCAATAAAATTGCGGTTTTACCTTGACTTTAAGATTAAGTCCATTTGCCTATCCTTCTGGACAAAAATCTCTATTACTATTTTGTAAAAGTCCTCCTTATGTTCTTGTAGTTTCAAAAGTCTATCATAAATCTAATCGATAGATTTATGATTCGAAAATGATAAAAGTAGGGTAGACATGTGGATATTATCCGGCTGAACAAAACATCTAACAGGTACGTTTCCCACAGATCTTATTTGGAGCTATTTTCTAAAATCCTATGGAGGAATCTCATTGCTTTTTTGTGGAGGGAACCCATGCGCAGCTTACTTCCTGGTTTTAGGACGCGTCTCTCGTCTCCTCTTCACACACCACACTTTTCGCAGCACACATACTTACAGCCAATCAGCTCTGAATTATTTGAGATGACGTATGGTGGGGATGGCAGCTCTACCCATAGATATATATATAAACAGGGTTATATATATATATATATATCTATGGCTCTATGCCCCTATGGTCATTATTTTTTTTTTCACACACATTAAATAGGAAAATACTCTGAGCATGCGCAGTGTAGTTTTTACAGTCACCGTTCACTTAGACAGAGAGAGGGAGGGGCAGGATCGGGTTTTGTCCCACATGGCTCTAAACAGCTCAATAGGCACACACTGTAGACACTAAATAGAAGAACACAGACTAAAACAGCAAGGTACAGACGAATCAGATGATTAAACATGATCTTAACATATATTTTATATATTTTCTTATTTATTTTTTTGTAATAATTATTTTTAATACTTTCTACTGACACTAGATGGGGCTGTGCCACCTGCCCCTAATGACCAGTCACCACTGCTGATACAACAAGACAATCAAATAATAAATGTTAATTAGACCCTCCAGAAAAACGCGGGCTAAAATCCTTGATTATGCGATTAAACATGTTTAATTTTTATGTGATTTTATGCTGTGAAATTGCGGGAAGTTGCGAAATATGCTAAATATTTTTTTTTGAAATATTGGGCTGTCTTATTTATTCTCTCTCACACACAACCTGCCACTAACGTTAAACCCCTTTACCATTCAACTACACATTCAATGTTTATTTATTGTAAAAGCAATTGGGCTATTTTAATCACACTCTCTCACACACACACACACACACACACACACACACTAGTGCTGTAGCGACGCGTCGACTTCAAAATCTCGTCGACGACAAATGTCCTCGTCGACGCATCGCCACACACACGTGGGTCACCCAAAGCAACAAGCAGTTCGTAATCGCACTTCAAACACAATGGAGACTGAAACGGCTACCACCTCCTCCTCACAGGATTGCGCACGAAGCCAAACAAAAACATCTCGCCCTAGGTCTTCAAAAGCATGGGAATACTTTAAATTTAGTCCAAAACGCAAAGGCATTGTTATTTGCAGTCTTTGCCAAATGGAGTTGGCATACCACACTAGCTATGTTGGAGCATTTAAAGCGGAGGCACCCCCTTGTCTCTCGTGAAGGGAACAATGATAAGTAAGTACTAACTTTGGCTAAATTAATTCCACGTTTGTGTAGTGTGTTGTGCAGCTTGAGTTCTGTGCACTTCGGTAGTGCTAACTATCTTATAGCTCTCCGTGCGGTTTGTTCGTTAATGTTAGCTACCTAGCTAGCGGCGCCAGTTGTGTGTTAGTTAACGTTTGTCAGCATTTAATGTTGGCTGGAATGGTAGCTAGTTTACGTCTGCAGTACACCGCTATCTAGCCACTACTAACCCGGAACAAACTAACTGCACAGAGAGCTAACTCATGTTGTGGTCCTTTACGAGTCAACCATAACATTAGACTAACGTTAGTCAGCTTATGGCGCGTTTCCACTGCAGCGGGTAGCTCGCTTTAAGCGTGCCGAGCCGTGCGGGGCCCGTTTTTGGTTGTGTTTCCACTTGGCCTAGTTTTGGCCCGGGGCTACTTTTTCACCTTTTTTCTGGCCCAACTAAATCGTGGTTCTAGGGCCAGGAACAACCAGGCTGAGTCGGGCTGAGTATGCTAAACTAGAGAGAAAATCGCTGGCAAGGGGGCTACAACTACAACAAGATGAACATATTTGACCGTGATTTAATTGTAATACACGTTTCAAAATGATGCCAAAGTAACAACATACTGATACCGGTTAGTAAAAACCATGAATTAATGCTTTGACAAGTCTGCAGACAGACAGCAGGCGAAAAACCCTTTTAAAATGCGTGTTTTCTAAATGTAGCTTGGCTAAGCAAACGTTATATATGCTCCGACCGTCCACACTAACAACAACGGCCTATACAGACATAAACAAACCAGCGACTGTATTCGCCATGACACAGGCAGTCTGTGGTTTGTACTTGTTTAACTTTTGTTTAGTTTCTGAACAGATATGAAGAGCTGTGAGCTCTGAGTGCTAAGAGCTAACGGCTGTGTTGTTTTTTGGGGCGCTCATTGAACAAAAAAAAACTATTATTAAGAATATTTTGGTATTTATTTGAGATAAATTACGTTTTTTATGAATCGAACAACAGAAAAATAATCGTTAGATTAGTCGACTAATCGATACAATAATCGCCCGATTAATCGTTTTCAAAATAATCGTTTCCCCCCAGCACTAACACACACACACACACACACACACACACACACTTATCCGCCTCATTCTGTTTTCATTTACTCGTTCGTTATCTGACCAGCTTCAATCTTGTAGGCTTCTCACCTCGTTTCTTGTAGCCCTCGAAAGGGTTTTGGAGGTCGATGCCTCGGTGAACGTGAGTTGTTTGGCTTTCTTGTCCGCAGCAGCAGAAAGCATTTTCGAATGTTTGAATGAATCAAAGTGGGTCGTCACCGTCGATGTTCTCTTATGCTCCAACACACAGTTGCACGGGGTGCAGAATAGTTTCCCCCCACTTTCGTGCAAGACATCGGGGAACTGCTTTGCCCCGTCTTTAGCAGAAATGTTCGTTGTAAATGAGATGGATTCGATTTTTTCATCTCTCTCGTGTGAGCTCCACACGTTCACTCTACGGTGTTGTTTACCTTCTGTGATGCGCGAGCTGATGACGTCGCATCATCATCATCACTAGCCTACTTCACGTCAAGACGAGTTAACTTTTTTTTCCTCAACTTTGTGTGGAAAAAATGCGGGAATTATGCGCCCTTTTAAAAATCTGGTGATTTTGCTGATTATGCGGTAAATTATGCGATCACAAAATCACGTTTTTCTGGAGGATCTAGTTAATATTAATTCTACACTGTGTTCTGTGGTTCCTACTAACAGTGTCTTTATCATGAACGCAAGGTCATGATAAAGACACTGTTGTTTTCACTGGACAGGAAGGATATGTTATTTGTAATCTGGAAGTGAATTACTATTAACTTTTAACCTGATTACTTCACAAAATGTATTTGGTATCATTCGTCCGCTGGTATCTAATGTGCTTATATGGTTGTGTTTTTTATATGAATGTTATTACAGTAAACCCAAAGGAAGTGACATGCACTCATCTTGACTGAGTCTCTGCTGAGAGGAGAATTAACGAGAAATGTATATATAAGAAAAAAGAAGACGCAGCAACTTTGAGGAAGTGGCACATTTCTGATAATAGGAAGTACATTCAACATTTCTCTTTGAGAGGCAGCCGGTCTAGAGACTTACACGAATACAAGAGACACGATGGACGAGTTCAAACGGATTAAAATGTCTTCACTTCTCATTCTGCTGCTTCAGTTTACAGGTAAGAATTCCTACAAAATGTATTTATTTAGAAACATTAAAAAAGGTAATTTAGTCATCATGAATGTTACTTTATTACCTAACCTCCTTTTAACAAAGACAGAGAAGTGGTGTGTTTGTCTTCCAACGAGGGGAAGGCAACTTTTAGACACATAGGGAAACTTTTGTTGTGTCTTAAAGGAACATTTTTATTTCTCTGTATTCTTTATATTTCTCTCTCGTTTATTCAGGGGCTGCAATTGGACAGCGTAACCTCTACCTCTCTGTCAGAGTTGGAGATGAAGCCAATCTGCCGTGTAACAGTGTGATTCATGATCAGGATGAATGTGATGGTACTTCATGGTTCTTCACTGTTTCAGGAAGCACAGTAGAGCTGGTTAGAGGTGGGCAGATTGGTAACCATGCTCAATCAGACAGACTGAGACTTACGGATAATTGTTCTCTGGTTGTAAAGAAGGTCACAGAGGAGGATGTTGGTCAATACAACTGCAGACAGTACAACAAATCAAATCAACAGCAAGGTTCAGACTCTCTGGTTCTTCTGTCTGTTGTTACCAGTGAGTATTTCCATCATAATGTTTCCAAACTTTCTCTGTAGAGCAAAATACTAAAACATTACAATTATTATTATTACAGTGGTGAAGTTAATTATTATCTTTCTCTCACATATCTCCATCTTCAGTGACTGAGCATCAGAACAACGATGAGGTCATGTTACTCTGCTCTGTGACGACACGTGCAGGTTGTAGACACAAAGTGAAGTGGCTGCTTCAGACTCGAGATGCGGATAAAGATCACAGAGATATAAAGACATCAGCGTCTGACTGCAATGCTTCTGTGACATTTCCGACTTCTCATTATGGTTCCACACAAAGGTCTAAGTTATTTACTTGCGAAGTAACAGCTGATGCTTACAACGTGCAGACCTTCAGCTTTCAGTCCTCAGGTGAGAACATTTGTGATCAGATTGTTTAAAGTCACTTCAACGTGATGTGAAAAATTACATAAAAAGGGTGTTTATCTGATTTAATTAAGTTTAAACATTATGTCACAATATATGGTAAACATATTACTTCTGAAGAGTTGTGTTCATCTTTTTCAGATGGGGATGATCAAGCAGCAACAACAACAACAAATACATCAGGTCGCATCAACAACCAAGGTAAAAACTAGACAGTAACAGCAATCTTAAACAAAACTACTCGATGGTACCTCAAATATTTCGTATGTTGTTGTGGCGCTTCACATCTCCTCTTTGAGCTGCGGTGGAAATATCTGGAGAGAATTAGTATTTGGTCCTTTAATTAAGTGTTTTTGGTTTATTTTGTTTTTAATTAATGTTTTTTGGATGCAGTTTTTGTCCCAAAAGTAACTTTGATTTGGTATAAAGTAACAAATACATGTTTTAACATCTACATGTAATGTAAGTATCTCCGCTATTCACCTCACCTCCAATATCTCCCATTTATTATAGTTTCAGTTTGCTGGTTGTACCTGGTTGTGGCTTTGGTTCTCGTAGCACTTCTAATAACCATTGTGGCTTTCATCACATGGAGGAAAATGAAAGGTGAGAGAATATATATGACACTTTTTGTAAACAATCATTTATTTCATAAAATCAAATGTAGAATGTGGAAATTAAAGTCAACCCCCTCTTGTCTGTGTTTTCAGGGAAGGAAGCACGGGAAAGTGACAGTGTTGTGAGTTCTCAAATATATTTTTCTATTTAAAGTTGAAAAAAGCAAGTGTTTCATAACCGTTAGTGGCTGTGCTGTAATTAAACAAAGGGCTTGCATTCGCTAAGGTAAAGGAAGTGATTAGGAGTAAAAGCAAGACGGGCTGTAAACTGATGTTTGGGATTTACTTGTTTAACATGAGCACCTTACATTACAGCCTCATAAATGAATACAGGACATCATAATCATATTTTCCTGTAGTGTGTTATATAGGATTTAGTGCATATCAATGGTCTGCAAAGGCTAAAATCCCTGTGTTCCGTTCAGAGGGAGTTTTTTTCCCCACACACCTCACTATGTAACACATGCGCTACTATTGTCCAGCGCTCAAATACTTTTTACTTGATAGGCGAAGGGGCGGGACATCTCTAAGTGGTTGACCAATCACAACAGAGCTGACCAGCTAACCAATCAGAGCAGACTGGGCTCTGGTTTCAGACAGAGGGGGAAAAGAGGTGCTGCAGCACAGGCAGTATGAGAACAATAAAGAGCTTTTAGAACATTAAAGCATGGAGACATGGAGAGGACTCTTTAAAGTAGAGACACTACATACTGATATACACCTGAATATCAGCAGGAGAGGACTCTTTAAAGTAGAGACACTACATACTGATATACACCCGAACATCAGCAGGAGAGGACTCTTTAAAGTAGAGACACTACATACTGATATACACCTGAACATCAGCAGGAGAGGACTCTTTAAAGTAGAGACACTACATACTGATATACACCTGAACATCAGCAGGAGAGGACTCTTTAAAGTAGAGACACTACATACTGATATACACCTGAACATCAGCAGGAGAGGACTCTTTAAAAGTAGAGGCACTACATACTGATATACACCTGAACATCAGCAGGAGAGGACTCTTTAAAGTAGAGACATTACATACTGATATACACCTGAACATCAGCAGGAGAGGACTCTTTAAAGTAGAGACACTACATACTGATATACACCTGAACATCAGCAGGAGAGGACTCTTTAAAGTAGAGACACTACATACTGATATACACCTGAACATCAGCAGGAGAGGACTCTTTAAAGTAGAGACACTACATACTGATATACACCTGAACATCAGCAGGAGAGGACTCTTTAAAGTAGAGACACTACATACTGATATACACCTGAACATCAGCAGGAGAGGACTCTTTAAAGTAGAGACACTACTGATATTAACCTGAAAATGAGCATATCCTCTGAAATATTCAAAGATGCATTGTACATGTTAAACTGATGTTGTTTTGATTATTCTCTAATGTGAATGAACTGAAGTGTTTAATGCTTGTTGTCCAGGGTCAGACCTCAAACCCTGCAGTTAATTCTCCAGAGACCAACCCGGCCACAGTAGGCGCTTTCACACCAAGTACTTTTCCCAGGAATAGTTCCCGGACCTTAGTTCCCCGGAAATCTTTAGTTCTGAATTCTAGTAGATCGCGTTCACACTGGAATAAGTCCCCGAGGGAGGATTAGGCAAATGAAGCCGCTGACATCACTTCTTCTTCTGCTTTGGGTTTAAAGGGATGAAGGTGTGGGATGAAGGGTTTTAGGGAAAGATGGATATAGGGAGGAGGGATGAAGAGTCGAAGGTATGTAGGGGGGAAGGGTTGAATGGATCAATGGATTACAGAGACAAGGGATGAATGGAAGCAAACACAGATGGATGAAATCAATATGAGTTTTTACATCAAAATACTGAACTGTTTTGACTCTCTCTTCATTATGAACTGATAAACACAGACACAAAGTGCAGAGAGACCTAGATCTGAATCAACACCTCTTTGAACCTGTCAGTAACAACTGAACATGATGAGTTCAGACTAAAGGACTGATTCCCCTGAATTACATCACAGAGGATTTCCCACCTTCACACTAGTGGCTTTTAGCAATGCTAATAGTTCTGTTGTTTTAGAAAACAATGTGTTTGTTACTGTGAATAATGTGCAGGATCAAATCTAGTTTCAAAGCAAACTGTGCAGAAGTCAGAAGATTAAATCAGATCAGACGGGAACTGATGGTGCGTTCAGGGTCTGCTGACTCAACTGTGAACTGTGTTTTCTTCCTTTGTAACCAACTCAGTGTTGTTGTTGTTGTTGTTTTCCACAGGTGCGTTGTGATGTAGATGATGGTACAGTGAACTATGAACACATCAGACCTCCTGATGAAGTTTGAGAAACACTTCTGCCTCCATCAGACTCCACTGATCAACAACGTCTACATCTATCATCAGGAGTGGAAGATTATACACTCATTCTGAATGACATATTATTTCATTTTAGTCTTGATCTAATAAACCACTGGATGTCACTGTAAACAGCTTTTAACTCTTGTTTCCTTCCTTATATTGTCTTCAGGTTCAGAGCTGATTTCAAGATGTACTGATTGTTTTTGAACGACAGCTTGAGCTCATTTTAATATCTCTGTGTTCAGAATTATTACTTTCATTCACTTTCATTGAGCTTTGCTTTGTGATGTTCATGTGATTTCATGGATTTTCAGCCTTAATGTAGAAAGTAAGTTTTCTCTGTTATATCTGTTGACATTAGAATCTGCAAATAAAAAGAAATCCAACAATTGTGTTTGACTATTTTTGGAAATAGTCTAAAGTCACTTCTCTGCTAACACACTATTTCATCAACATTTCATCAGAACAAGAGATAGAGGAAGCAGAGAGACGGAGAATCAAGATGGATGAGTTCAAACGGATTAAAATATCTTTATTTCTCATTCTGCTGCTTCAGTTTACAGGTAAGAGATGCAGCACTCACAATAATCACTGTGGCTTCATCAGACTGAAGAGGACTCAAGGTGAGGACACTACACTTCTATCAAGAAGAGGGAGAGAGGGATTAAGGGAGGAGTTTTCAAAGAAGTGAGTGGGGGTTGAATGGATGTCGGTAGTGAGGGATACAAGGGAAAGATGGATATAGGAAGGGAGGGATGAAGAGTCGAAGGTATATGTAGAGAGAGAAAGGATCAATAAAAGGGAGGAATGAGTGAAAGAAGGGATTTAGGGAGGTAGGGATATAGGTAAGAAAGTGATGAATGTAGGGAGGGAGGGAGAAATTAAGGGTCAAATGGATGTAGGGAGGTGGGGATGAACAACCAAAGGGATGTAACGGTGAGGAAGGGATGAAGAGAGTGAGGGGGCAGGGATGTAGGTAAGGAAGTGATAAATTGATGTGGGAAGGGAGGGATGATTGGGTGAAGGAATTTAGGAAAGAATGGATGCATTTTCGAAGAATTTAGGGTTGAAGGAATGTGGATATAGGGGGATGAAGGGATAAAGGGATTATAGGGAGGAGTAGATATTGGGAGTGAAGGACTAAGAGTCGAAGGTATGTAGGAATGAAGGGATGAACAAGTCCTCCAACTCATACGACCAAATATGTCGATTGTTCAAGCGCTTAATACGACCTATAATCACGTTTTAAAGTATTCGCCCTCTAGTGCTCCCGTTGAATGCAAACGTTACAGATGGTCGTTTATTCACAAATAACCCTCTGTAAAATCCTAAATTGTAGGATGGTTTGGCCATTACAACGCTTTTTGATTAGATTTCTAGCAAGAAGTGTAGATTGTAGGCTACTTTTAGAATCCACGTCCAGTCGATATGTAGGATCTATAGTTTGATAGATATTACGAAGATGATTTGAGGTATGCGGCAGCCTCCATGTAAAGTTACGGGTTGAAAACAGTATTTCCGGTCTCAACGTTTTCATAATAAAACCAATGATCAAATGATTTAACTGTGATATCTGCAGTACTCATCCACTAAAAAACATTAGTTTATCCTAGTTAGTTATACAACATTTATTGATTTAAATTGTGTACAATTATTTTGTGTTTATCCCATAGGTTTTTCTCTTTCGATTCTGAGAGACACATTTATTTTTTCAGAGGTTTTAGGCTAAAATCACGCCGCTTGTTTTAGCCGCAATGCATGTTGGGATATGGTGTTTATGCGATATGAAATCGGAAAACATTTAAAAAAAATTAAGTAATACTTTATTCCGAGTGTTATTGCTTTTCTCTTTGGAAGTCATCACATACGGCATTGTAATACACGGTTCGGCTGCATTAAACAGGGGCGTCGCCTGGGGTAGGCATCCGGGGCTTTAGCCCCGGATGTTTTTTCTTTAGCCCCGGACAAATTCTCCCTCAATAATATAATACATTAACCTACTTTACCTATAGGACGGACGGCAGAAATGTAATTTCCCATGTTCAGTGAATGCAACACAGAGGCAGACGACGCCACCAGACCAATCAGAGAGTTGCATGGAAATAAACGTGTTTTATTGGCTGACAGGTACTTACATCTCCTCTGTGACAATGTTTAAACTTTAAACTTTAAACTGTCAGCCCCGGACGCGGAGATTCTGAAGATTAGACATTTCTTTAATAAAAAAGACGGCAATTCTCAGGTGGTGGCTCACACAACAACCCCAGAGCCAGATGAACAAGGTATGTACCTGTCAGTAAACTTACAAGTTATGCGAACATGTAAGCAAAGCATACATTATAGCTACGTTGACGTTAATTTGAATCGCGCGGGTAAGCTAAACCGTTAGCAAGTAGCTATAGCTAGCCAGATATATTAAATAAACACTTAGTCATACAATCTAAATGTTGTGTTTTTTAGCGTTACTTGGTGATTTCAAAGAAAGCTCTCTGGGAAATGTTGACTTACTGTCTGTGTTCGACATGAAGCTAGAAGCTACCTTACAGTAGTACACAGTTGATCCTGATTCCTGAGTCCTGTCAGTTAAAGTGTTTCATAGTTAGCTTAGCTAAGCATCAACCTAGCACTGAAATATATATATATATATGGATGTTATGTGACAGTATTTCTGAGAAAAAGTCAGCTGAAATGGTGGCATAGTTGCCACTGCTTTACGTGTCGACAGCATGTTTGAACGTATTTGCAGCAGTAAATGTGGCTGTCTGGCCACTGACGTTGCCATAACAACACCTGCATTTAAATGTGCAACCTCTTTTTGTGACAGATTTTGCATGAAAATATAATTCTTCTGATTTATATTTCCTATTGACAGCTAGTTTCTATGTGAACATTATGAGATGGACAGCCAGCTAACAAGCTTTTTATACAAATATTTCAGATCAAAGGGAAAGGGAGCAAGGGACACTAAGCTCCCAAATATTAAGCCTTGACCCGCATCTTAAAATTGATATGATCAAAAAATGATCTGCATTGTCGGAGGCCTTTTTTCCTCATTATCATGTCAAATTGTACAGCTTTCCTTAGTGTTGAATGCAGAAAGATGACTATATTAGAGTATTAAGTGAAAATGACTATATTCAAGTTTTAAGCAAATATATTAAGTGAATTACTCAAACTGCATTTGTATAGGAATGATTCTGTCCTATTGGCAGATAACTACTCTAACAGTGACAAGAGATGTAAATTTAACTATTTTAAATTGGTTAGTATTACATTTTGTGACAGTGTGGTGACACTCATTTTAATGAAGACAAATGTGTGTATCTTGAAATTCATTTATTTGACAGAGCTGGAAACTGATACATACTTGTTTGTGTTTACCCACAGTCATCACAGATGAGCCAAACAGAGGATGAAGAAAGGAGAACAGGAGAAAGGGACACACAATAAGGAGAAACAACAGACAAGAACGACAATGGAGACAACAATGAACAGGAACACCAGAACAGACAAGAGTCAATGGGTAACATGACTGATTTAGGGACTGCAGATACAGGGCCAAGGCAAGTGAGACACCACTGCTTTCCATCCAGCATGTTTGGCCAGCAAAAGAGATCATTTCAACCGCAAACAGCAAGTGATGAGGGATTATTATTTCTTCCTTCCATCCCTTTTTTCTGTTTAATCTGATTACTAACTACTTCTAATAATTTGACATAGTTTATGATTTAATTGGAAAATGAAGTGTTTTTAAATAATAAACCCGTTTCTGATTCTGATTCTTTGATTTCTTTTTGACATATGGGTGTTGAGAGATGTATCCATATCTCTTAATGTTGCTCTCAAAGTGCACAAGATTGATGCTTTTAACTTCAGTATTTAAAAAAAGTCTTCCTTGGGGACCCCAGAGGAGGTGAGTTCCCCCCAAAATAGCACCTTATCTCTGCTTATGTAACTCCGGTGTAGTGTCCCCTCGTCAACAGATCACTCAGAGCTGGTGATTACTTTCCTGCATTTCAATGGACAGCATATAAAAAGGACACGTGAGCTGCATTGCTTAAGAGATCCTCTCATGCTATCTCTTTTACAAAATAAGTGTCCAGTCAACAACAAAACATCAGTGATCGTATAGTGGTAGTATATTTTTCACAAGCAATGTGAAACATTAAACTTATACAAACTGGTGTACAAAACTCACATACCTGCGTTGATCTCCTGGAGTGTCTCTACTCTTTCTTCTCCACATCTCTTGTCCACCATCAGAGATTGCAAACATTTCAGAAACAACTAGAGGTAGGGGACAAACAACTTGTTCGCTGGGCATGTCAAAAACCTCCCTGCTTTGATCAAGACTTTAGGGAGCCTTTCAGCCCCTCTAGTAAAGGGACTGGAAAGCAAGCTTTGCAAATTCAGTACCATCTACATGCTTGTCCTGTTCCAGACACTGCTCTCAACCACTCAGGGCCTGCACAAATACCTGCAGAAAGAAACAATTGACTTGGTGCAGGCAGTAGATTACAAAACAGCAGTTGAGAACACACTGAAAAGTTACCAAAGTAACGAGAAAGCACATGAGGTCTATGACAAGACCAAGGCCCTGTGCAATGATCTTGATATTCCCGAAACTGAGACACAGAGGAAGAAGCGTAGAAACATGGAAGACTTTGTAGTCGAGGCATCATGTGGAGCAATGTGAAACATTAAACATAAATAAACTGGTGTACAAAACTCGCATACCTGCATTTCAATGGACAGCATAAAAGGACTCGTGAGCTGGGTTCTGGTGCTCAGATTAGCTATTGATGATCACGTTGATAAATCATATAAAATAAATAGCCAATCACACTAAAAACATGTTGCTGTGACTGTGAGCATTAAACAATTAACATTAAACTAAACAAACACAACAGTACGTTATTGTCCTTATAAAATAAAAACATACATTTTGTCCACCGAGATAATACAGGCACCTTACCCTCAAGAGATCCTCACGTGTTATGAGAATCTCCCACAATCCATTGCCGTAACAAAGCTAATGCAGGCACACGTTTGTGACACCAGATGGCGCAATTGTGTATGTGCGTGTGGGGAGTCTTGCAGTAGAAAATGTGACTGTAGCGCCGCCACTG